AAATGTCCTCGACTAAGCTCCTAGGCCCAGTGCCTGGCACACAGCACGCTCTGTTCTCATGAAGACTCGTATTGCCGGCCAGGCCAATACGCCTTCAGGGTCACAGATGTCCAGCCAGAATGAGGCTAGGCTTAAGGACAAGAACTTGAATAATCTGTAGCCACTGTTAGGGGATGACCCCACCCCCTGCACCCACCACTGAGGGGCAGGGCGCCAGTCCGGTTGGGTTTGCCTCTTCCCCCCAAGCCCAGGTAGTGGTCCCGCCTGGAAGGCTTCTGCAGCGTCCCCAACATGCTTGCCCATTTCAGTGCTGTGCATTGATGAGGCTGTGCTTGGCCGGGAGTCTGACCTGGCTCCTGCCCCCCTCAATCCCGGCCTGCAGTGGTGCAGTGCAGTGCAGGCCCCCAGGCCCAAGCTATTCCTCTGCTGTGATTCCCCTCCGAGTGGGTACTTCCAGCCGGTCCTCATGCTCAGCTCTGGACTGTTGTTGAACCCCCTTTCCTATTTATTCTCCAGCCCTTCCCCCTTGTCTGGGTGTCTCCCACCATCCCTGGGACACTGCACAGCTTGGCAAATGTCTTCTGGAGGGAGGGAAGTCAGAGAGGACGTGAGAGTGAGACGGAGGCAGAGGGAGTCCGCTGAGAAGTCGGGGCGCAGCTGTGGCCTGGCCATCCTTTACAGGAAGCGCAGGCCTTCGGCATCCCTCCCAGAGGGACCCGACTCCCACTCCAAGCCCCTCCTCCTTACGCATCCTCATTCTAGGGAACCAAGGTGAGTAAGATGGGGCAATCACCTGTGCCTCCCTCCTGCTTTTACAAATGAGGACACGGAGGCTCAGAGAGGTTCGGTGGCTTGCCTGGGATCACCCGGCAGGGGCAGGTGGCTTGGTCCCACTCCATCCCAGGGCTCTATTGTTCCAGCCACCCTGATCCTCTCCAAGCTGGCTGGGGCTCTGCTGCTGCTTTGAAGATTGAGAAGAGGGGACGCCCCCAGCCCAGAGGCCACACCAGACCCCACCAGGTGCTGTCAGGAGCTCAGGCCCTTGCTGGCTCTCCCTTCTGTCTCTGGGTGCCCGAATATACCCATTGCCACTACAGCCACTTACCTACTGCCCTTGTGCCCAGTTCAACTTGGCACGGAGCAGGCATCTGAGATACTTGGCGGTGAGTGCCTCAGTTTCCCCTTAGGGAATTTGCTCACTCCTTTCTCTTGGCAGGTAGGGTGAGGCTAAATTAATGTTTATTTAAGGGCTTCTGCATTCTGAGCTGACAGGTGCCTTGTGATGGTAAAATATGGACCCAGCATAAGTGCAGAATGCGACTGTTGTACACCTGAGGGTGATGTTTCCTAATGACGACGCACTGTCAGAGCCGTAAGCAGAAATGGATGGTTTGTCTCGTCCTCCTCATCTCCCCCAGACTCAGCAGACAGCAGCTCGCGTTCCAAGGTGGGAGAAATATGAGGCTACTCACCTTCAGCTATAAATCTGCCGTTTCATCAGCTCTGACAGGTGGCTGGACAACCCTAGTCAATTCATCAATTAAATGTACCCATTTGTAGTGGCTGGGAACCCTGTGTCCTTGGCTCTGGCAAGACTGGAGGCCCAGGAGTGTGGGAAGGCTGCTGTCACGAGGGCCATGTCTCCTGGTGGGAGCAGCGGGGGCCTGGGGAAGGGGCGGTCTAGGCGGCCAGGAGATACGGGGATGAGGAAGGTGCATTTGGGGTAGGACTGGGATGAAGGAAAGCCAGTCGGGGCCCAGCCTGGGAAACCCAATTTTGTGCTTTGACTTAATAGGATGGAGTGAGCAGGGCCACCCTCTGCCTCCTGTGGATGCCAAAGCTGGGTTTCAGTCCCAGCTCCAGCCCTCGCATATTGTGTGACTTTGGCCAAGTTAGTTAACTTCTGAGTCTTTATTTCCTTGTCTGTAAAGTGCAAATAATAATGCCCCCCCCCCCGGGAGTTATGACGGTTAAATAGAATACCCACACAACATGAATGTAGCATCGACAATGGCGCGGAGCGAATAGGGAAATCAGCAGTCGCTGCTGTTCCTGCTGCAGGTACTGTCCTTCCACGGGGCTGCGTCCTACCTAAGTGTTTAGCCGTCCTCTCCCGCACATCAAAAAATGCCCGGACTCCTCTCTGTCAGGGCTTTTTCTCAGCCTCTTAAGTCCATTTGTCAGGTACAAGGTCCAGTCATTCTGCACCCTGATGGATTTTGGCTCCCAAATCCCACGGAGCTGCCACTGTGAGGTTGTCTGATTAACTAGGTTGTCACAGAAAGCACCCAGGACCCCAGAGTGATGTCCCTGCTCCCAAAAGCTAAGGACTGCCTGAGATGACCAGTGTCCAGCAGGGGCAGCTCCCAGGGGGAGGGCGGGAGCACCTATCTGGATCCGCCTTGTCCTTAGCCAGCTCAAAATGGAGGGTGGTGGCCAGGCCCCGTCTTTATTCCTGTGGCATGGTTAAGAGAGCGGCTCTGGGGTCAGACGGCCAGCCTGGGCATCCCAGAGCCCTCCCTTCCTGCTGGTGCAGTCTTGGGTGAGGGCCTTAGTTTCCTCATCCGTACATTGGGATAACAATAGTAAAACTTCTTGGGGCTGTTGTGGGCTTGAAGGAGGCCATGTGGGTCAAGTCCTTACAAGAGTGCCTGGCACCCAGAAGCTGCTTCCCTGATACTGGCCACTGCAGCTCTGTGTGGGAGTCTTCATGGATCCCCAGAGAAGCCTCTCGAAGCCTCAGTCTCTTTCTCACAAAATGGCACAACTGCTTCTTACTTATTGAAAAGGCAGAGTTGGGGTGGGGGGAGGGATGGAGAGAATGGGAGAGAGAAAGATCTTCCATCTGCTGGTTCACTCCCCAAATGGCCATAATGGCCAGGGCTGGGCCAAGCCAAAGCCAGAAGCCTGGAGCTTTATCTGGATCTCCCACGTGGGTAGCAGGGGCCCAAGGACTTGGGCCATCTTCCACTGCTTTCTCAGGCACATTAGTAGGGAGCTGGATAGGAAGTGGAGCAGCCAGGACTTGAACCAGCACCCACGTGAGATGCTGGCACTGCAGGCGGTGGCTTAGCCCACTTCGCCACAGAGCTGGCCCCATGGCACAATTTCTTGATGGGGAGTGTGCTCTCGCCACCGAAAGTTGGGCATGTTTTGGAGCTTCTGAGGGTCCCCCCCCACACAAGTGAATGTGCTCAGCCACCACCCCTGGGAGTGTCCCTGGGACAGCATGAGGGAACACAAGGCACGGACGCCCCCTTGCCCAGCTCCCTTGTGGCCACTAAGAGTGCAGTGCTTGGGGGGGACGGCAGATGCATTTGCTGCTAAGAGGACGGCCCTGCTGCCGCAGCAAGGAGCCCGAGAATGTGTTTTCCAGCGCGGCTGCTAATGGCTTCATCACGGCTTTTATGAGATGATGTGAATTGCTCTGGCCAATGAGGCTTAATGGCCTTCCTCCACCAGCCGCCTGGCGTCTTCTCCCCGGAGGCTCAGCGCAGAGTTAAGCCAAGAATATTAATACGGTCCGGATGTGGGCCCTCCCCCTTGCCCATAAAGTTGTGGAAATTGAGGTCAAGTTGGGTCCCCTGCAACGTTCTTTAAACAAGCAGCAGAGTGGTTTGTTTGCTCCTTGGTCTTCCTGGTGGAGAGGGGATGGCTTCCAGCTGGAGGCCTGGGACCAGCTTCTCCCTTCCCCTGGGTTTGTTCCCACTGGCTTGGGGGTGGTCTTGTTAAAGGGGCAGGTTCTTTGGTGGGAAGAGAGGACCCCTGATGCCACCATTCAGGGCTGCTGGGATGAGAGCAGGGAAAACCAAGGCCCTGGGCTGACGTGAGCAGGGCAGATGGCCTGTCTTCCCTGGGAGGCAGCCCTGTCATTGTCAGCTGTAACCACGAGGGCATCCTGGGATGCGGATGAGAGTGGGGGAACAGCCTGCCAGGGACTAACGGAGGGCGTCCCTGCAGTCTTGAGCAGCCTCTACTCTGTTTTTTAATTTTTTATTTATTTATTTATTTTTTTTGACAGGCAGAGTGGACAGTGACAGAGAGAGAGAGACAGAGAGAAAGGTCTTCCTTTTGCCATTGGTTCACCCTCCAATGGCCGCCGCGGCCGGCACACTGCAACCGGTGCACCGCGCTGATCCGATGGCAGGAGCCAGGTACTTATCCTGGTCTCCCATGGAGCGCAGGGCCCAAGCACTTGGGCCATCCTCCACTGCACTCCCTGGCCACAGCAGAGAGCTGGACTGGAAGAGAGGCAACCGGGACAGAATCTGGCGCCCCGACCGGGACTAGAACCCGGTGTGCCAGCGCCGCAAGGCGGAGGATTAGCCTAGTGAGCCGCGGCGCCGGCCCTCTACTCTGTTTTATAAATGGAAGAGCAGAGGATCCGAGCGGGGAGGCAGTGCCGCAGTCAGCTCTCATTGGGGCTAGGTTGGGAAGCTGGGGCTCTTGCCCCTAAGCTGAGATCCTACGTCCCCAGTCAGCCCTATGTGGCCTTGTCCAGGGGTCCAAGCCGGCTCTCAGGATCTCCTGCAGTTTCCACCTTTCTTAGCGGATCCCAGTCCCTGAAGCCTTCCTTGTCACTTAAGGTGAGGTTTTGATAAAAACCTCAGAAAAAAACACGAAAATCCTGCTTCGGAGCAATGGGCTCAGGTTTGGTCCTGTATCTCAGCTGTGTGCTCTGGGATGAGTCACAGCAGGGTCCCCAGCCCGCAGGGGTGCACAGTGGGTGCTCCCTGTTCAGGGAGCTCATTTCTCTAAGATGTCGGTGCCTCTCCTGACGTGTGGACCTCAGACCCTCGGCCTAATGGTTTGTGACAGGCTCTCCCCATGCATTCGGCCTGGCCCGAGGATGAGACGGTTTTCCTAGGCTGGAAGCTTCTACAGGAGAGGAACTCTCCTGTTCTTCCTGGCCAGTGCAGGGTGTGTGGCCCCAGGCCTGGCAGGGCGGAAGTGGGGCTTGGAAAGTGCCCTAACCCGGTGTCTCCCCTGGCCTCCCGCAGCCCGCCCTGAAGATGTCGGCACCAGCCTCTACTTTGTGAATGACTCGCTGCAGCAGGTCACCTTCTCCAGCTCCGTGGGGGTGGTGGTGCCCTGCCCAGCCGCGGGCTCCCCCAGCGCGGCCCTTCGATGGTACCTGGCCACGGGGGACGACATCTACGACGTGCCGCACATCCGGCACGTCCACGCCAACGGGACGCTGCAGCTCTATCCCTTCTCCCCCTCCGCCTTCAATAGCTTTATCCACGACAATGACTACTTCTGCACCGCGGAGAACGCCGCCGGCAAGATCCGGAGCCCCAACATCCGCGTCAAAGCAGGTGAGGGACGAGGCGCGCGCTCGCCGACAGGGGGCGCGCGGGCCGGGGGCGTGGGCTGCGCATGTGCGCGCAGTGCTGTGGGCGGTGCGCTGGACACGTCGGTCAAGGACCTTTTTGTTGCTCTGCGGTATCGCTACTCCGCCACGTACCGTCGTGTGGCGGAGAAGACCCCGTGGGGAGCCTCAGTTTCCTCTTCTGCGGAGTTGAGGTTTGCCCCCTGCCTCGTATACCCACCTCATACCTTGATTTAAACCGGAGAGTGCTCGCTGAGTGCTGTTTGTAGCCTTTGACTCACAGAACACATTCGTTGACGTATTTATTTACTTATTTATTTTTAAAAGATTTATTTATTTATTTTGAAAGTCAAGAGTTACACAGAGAGAGAAGGAGAGGCAGGGAGAGAGGTTTTCCATCCTCTGGTTCACTCCTCAAAAGGCCACAATGGCTAAAGCTGGGCCCATCTGAAGCCAGGAACCTGGAGCCTCCTCTGGGTCTCCCATGTGAGTGCAGGGTCCCAAGCAGTTAGGCCATCTCCCACTGCTTTCCCAGGCATATTAGCAGGGAGCTGGATCAGAAGGGGAGCAGCCGCGACTTGAACCAGCGCCTATATGGGGTGGCCAGTTCTGCAGGCGGCAGGTTTACCCACTATGCCAGAGAGTCAGCCCCATCTATCATTTTTTTAAAAACCCTTTGCTGAAGTGCATTAAAAGTCTACCTATTGTAAATACACGGTTTGATGGATTTCCACAAAGTTCAACAAATACTTGAAGCCAGAAATGCAACATCAGCAAGTCAGAGGCCTGCCCTCCTACTTTTCCTGGTCACCGTTCCCCTGAGAGTTACCTCGCTCCTGATGTCTAAAAATACCAGTGTTTTGCATGTTGTTATACTTTGTGTGACTGGATCCTACGGCGCGAATTCTCTTGTCTCTCTTGCTCATCTGGGATTTGCATGCACTGTTGCCGTGGTGGCTTGTTCGTTCTCATTGCTGTGTGGCGGCATGTTGTGTGTCTGGACCACACTTTACAAGGCATGTTTTTTGTTTTCCCATAATATGTATTTTTCATGAGCTTTTTGAAGACCTCATGCAAGTGTGGGTTGCAAAAATTTTTGCACCAAATATCTTCTAATTCTGTTTCCCATAATTTTTTTAAAAAGTTTTTATTTATTGATTCGAGAGGCAGAGAAAGGTCTTCTAGCTGCTGGTTCACTCCCAGCTGCAACAGCTGGAGCTGGGCCAATCCAAAGAAGGAGCCAGGAGCTTCTTCCGGGTCTCCCATGCTGGTGCAGGGGCCCAAGCACTTGGGCCATCTTCTACTACTATCCCAGGCCATCAGCAGGGAGCTGGATCGGAAGTGGAGCAGCCGGGACTCACAGGTGCCCATATGGGATGCCAGCATTGCAGGCAGAGGCTTAACTTATAGAGCACTGGCCCCAGAAAGACAGATATTACATTTGCTGATTTTGATTCCACAATAGGGGCTGATGTTGTGGCGCAGCGGGTTAAAGCCCTGCGCCAGCATCCCATATGGGTACCGGTTCTGGTCCTTGCTGTTCCTCTTCCCATCCAGCTCTCTGCTATGGCCTGGGAAAGCAGTGGATGATGACCCAAGTCCTTGGGCCCCTGTACCCACGTGGCAGATCCAGAAGAAGCTCCTGGCTCCTGCCTTCGGATTGGCTCAGCTCTGGCCGTTGTGGCCATCTGAGGAGTGAATCAGTGGGTGGAAGACCTCTCTCTCTGTCTCTACCTCTCTCTGTAACTCTGCCTTTCAAATAAATAAAATAAATCCTAAAAAATATATCCATAATAGGTAGGGCTGGCCAGCCTGGAGTGGGAGCCAGCAACTCCATCTGTCAGTCTGGGAATCCGGGTCTCCCACGTGGGTGTCAGGGACCCAAGTATTTGAGCCATCACCTGCTGCCTCCCAGGGTGCACATTAGGAGGAAGGTGGAATGGGGAGCAGGACTGGGAGTCTAACCCAGGCACTCCAGTATGGACGCAGGTGTCCGAAGTGGCGATAGCCTAACTGTTACATCAAATACCTGCCCCTTCCAGGAGCTTTTAAAAGTGCTCTCTTATTTGTCCATCTCACTGTTGGTGGACGCTTGAATACAACAGAGCTCCTGAGGACCGGCGTGGGATACAGGTAGATAAAATGTACCAAAAATCATGACAGAGAACTTAGCAGTGAAGAATCTGGATCTTCAGAAGAGTCGTGGAGGCAAGGAAGTGAGGGTTTCTCAGGTTGTCTCGATTCTCTGGGTTAGGTCTGGAGGTGAGCAAACAGCTTAGATCCGCCGTCCTTACGTAGGGCGTGATGATGCTGGTGTGTCATAGTCACTGGTGAGGTGTCTCTCAGACATAAAGCGCTGGTGTGGGGGTGTGATGTCCTTAGAAGAGCTGCTTCGGTGAGAGGACAGGTGCAGTCCAGCCGCCTGTGGCAGCCCCAGCCCTAGAGGGCACCATCTTTCCTACTGTGTTGGGCAGACCAAGAAGCCGGTGTTCTTGGGACGACCCCCCAGCCAGCGTACTGAGTGACATTGCTGCAAATGAGCCCCCTAGCTTCCTGGCTCCTGCTGCAGGAGGGTGCCTCTCCCAGGCCCCAGGTAGCTGGGAACAGGATGGTGGGAAGGTGAGAACTCTGCCTCATTCCGTCGTGTTGTTTGCAGGGAGGCTGTGAGCTCTTGGAACCCAGGTCCAGGCTCTGGGGTTCTCTCCTGGGCTCCCAGGGACTCTCCTTCTAGGAGGGTGTCTGCACTGTTGCCCTAAGGCCACACCAAGGGCTGAGCCGGGAGCCCTGAGGCCTGGATCTGGGGTCCAGTTCTGGCTTTCCTTGCCTGGAAGACAGGGCTGGGGGAAGGGCCAGGCTGTTTCCTGGTACCTGCCTCTCATTGGGTTAGGAGGTGGTTTCACAGCAGGTCTGTAGAGTGTTCCTTACAGATGAGAGACTAAGAACAAAGAGAGGTTAAGCTGATGGCCCAGTCGCTGCCCACAGCCAGTTGGTCACAGAGGCGCTGCTGTAATGAGAAGCCACCTTGTCCGTGCTGGCCCTTTCACAGTTAACTGATGAGGCAGATGAGCCTCTGAAAGCTTAACTCCTCTGTCCAGGATCACACACCGGGCTGCAGGGTGGGGAGGGGCTGCTTGTTTGGAGCTCTTATCCCTGATCTGTCGTGAGTGGCAGGTGCCACAGCCCCCGCTTTCCAGGCCACCAGTCTGTCCTCCCCAGGACCGGCTCCCCACAGTCTTCTGTGTATAAGAAGTTTGTCCCACATCTGAGGGCAGTGCCCTGCCCAGCCCTTGGCTGACCACAGCCCCAGAGCAACGCCTCCCCTCCCTTCCTCTCTCTCCTGCACCTCAGCTGTGGCCACAGCAAGGAGGAGGGGAAGGAATAAAGGCCTGGAGAAGGGCCAGGGAGGACCGGGCCAATTGGCAATTAAGAGGCTCTTGATGATGCCAGGGGGGCTGCAGGTGCACAACCTGGGAGGGGGCCACTGCCGGGACCCCAAGTGTCACCCTGGCAACCATGATGGGGAGAGAAGGTGCCTGCTGAGAGACAGGGTGAGCCCCTGGGAGAGGCCCGAGCAGAGGAGGACAGGGCAGAGACAGGACCCTCGGCCCCCTTCCTAAGGTCGGGTCAGCCCACCCATGGGACCTAACAGGTGACAAGGGCCAGAACAGCCCTGGGATCAGGGCAGGGCATGGACCCTGGCTCTGAGGGGGTGCCCTGGAGACCCAGGCAGTGTCAGAGGTGGAGGAAGGCAGCAAGGATGCTTCGTTTTGGAGGAATTGGAGATTGTGTCCATGTGTCTGGGGTTCTGCATCCTCAGAGATGATGACAGTTTCAAACACTCCCTGCCATGGTCCTCACCCGTGACTTGTCCAGAAACTTCAGCACCTGAACTGCGTTTCCCAGGCTGCTGCCTTTCCTGGTGCTGTGGCCCAAAACTCTATTGTTGGATCACACGTCACAGCTTTTATTTTGGCAAATGGTCGTCTTTGGAGCCAAAACAAACACTACCTGGAGCCAGGAATAATGTAGGAAATCTGGGGCCTGGTGTTGTGCAGCAGGTGAAGCCACTGCCTCTGATGCCGGCGTCCCATATCGGAGCACTGGTTCGAGTCCCTGCTGCTCTAATTCTGATCCAGCTCCCTACTGATGCACTTAGGAAAGCAACAGAAAATGGCCCAAGTACTTGGGCACCTGTCACTCACATGGGAGACCCAGATGGAGTTCCAGGCTCTTGGCTTCGGCGTGGTCCAGCTCTGCCTTTTGGAGTCATCTGTGTAGTTAACCAGTGGATAGATTTCTCTCTCTGACTTTCAAATAAATAAAATACATAATTTTTTTTGAATGTAGGAAATCCACTTTGGTTTCCCTAGGGGAATTCCTCTGGTTGCCATTTCCGGGTTCAGGGGCTGCTGTCAAGCTCCCTGCAGTCTCACACAGACTGGAAAGGTTGAGCTTGCATTTCTGGGGCTGTCCATGGTGGGAGGGGAGGTTGCTGGAGAAGGAGTTACCTAGACAGGAAGGGGATTGTGGCAGGAAGTTCTGGGCTGGGCAGTGGGAGATGGGAGGGACCGGGGTGGAGGGAGGCTCTCGGGAAGGTCCATTGACTCTTGTTTCTCTCTCGCCCCCCTCATGCCCCCTCTCCTCGCCCCCCCCCCATCTCTCTGCAGTCTTCAGGGAACCCTACACCGTGCGGGTGGAGGATCAAAGGTCAATGCGTGGAAACGTGGCCGTCTTCAAGTGCCTCATCCCCTCTTCAGTGCAGGAATATGTTAGCGTTGTGTCTTGGGAGAAAGACACCGTCGCCATCATCCCAGGTAAGACAGGATCGCGGGGCCGGGGCTGGGTGAAGGTGCCTGAGCTGGTTGTTGAGCTGATCAAGGCCTTGAACGTGGTCTGCTGTGTGGTGTCTCGTTCTTCTGGTGAGGCTTCAGCAAAACGGTGTCTTTGGTCTCTGCGTGGGGAGGTGGAGATCTGTGTGCCGGTGGCCTCTCCTGGGCGTGCAAAGTGCTCCCCTCCAGAGGACCGAGCCACCATCCTTCCTATACTGAGGTCTGGCTTGGCTTTGCGCCGAGGGAGGGGTGGCAAGGCTAGAGGCAGCTCTTCTGTGGAAATGGCCAGGCAAGGAGAGAGGAAAGCTGGGTCGAGGTCTGTGTCGCCGTGGTGAGCGCCGTGAACAAGCACTGCTGCTCCCGGACCTGCTGTGGGAGGCGTGCACGGGGCCTGTGCTATTTCAGAAGTTGGCTGCAGACTGCACCCATGGCCGATGGCAGGAGGTGGGGGAAACACCGCATTGCAGGTGCCCCACTTTGCAGCCGCCATGTGAGCCTTTCCACCTCTGAACCCCAAGAGAGAACCTCACGTCCTTAAAAGACCTCTCGGCCTCCAGGTACCAGGAGGGCTCTGCCACCCTCCCTCTGTGCTCGCACACTGCAGGGGGTCTGCTGCCTTGACCTTTGCTGTCCTGCCTGTAGAGTAGAGGGACTTGACCAGGCGCTCCTTGGGTGTGAAGGGCCTTGGCTGCCTGTGGGAGACGATTCTTGCTCCTCATTGTCTACGGGTTGGTTGGGGAAGATATGACTTCCACACATGGCACCTTTAAAAGCTGGGGTTCTTAATCCCACTCCCTATCCTAGCTCTGGAGAAGCTCCTTCAAGAGTACCAATGGTTATGCCAATCTCAAATCAATTGAGTCCAAATCTCTCAGGAGTAGGGCCTGGGCATCAGCATTTTCCAGTGATCCCTGGGTGATTCTTACTGTACAGGTAGGATAAGAACCAACGCTCAGGCATGCCAACAGCTAATGTGGAGACACTTTTTTTGAGACATTTATTTGTGTTTTATGATCGGTCCTTTTGGCCTCTCTCAGTTCCAGGCAGGTGGGCAGACCATTATTTCTGTTGGCTTCAGAGGTGGTAGCAGGACAGGAATCTGAAGCTACTTGAGGATGACTGCTCTTGCTGTTTTGTAAAACCTTAAAACAATGGGAAAGGTGCCGATGGCTGTGGTATTGGTTAGTTTCCCATTACTATAATGAAATACCCAAGGCTGGGTGCCTTATAAAGCAAGGAGATTTATTTAGCTCATGTTTCCAGAAGTTCAAGGGCATGGTCTGGCATTGGTTTGGTACTGATTTTCGGCATTACAATGGTGAGGATGTGTTTGAGAGGGAGAGATCACGTGGCAGTGATATGGGGAAACTAGGTAGGGCCATAGGCAGGAATAGGTGAGCTGGAATCTTTGCCAGTCCTGCACTGTAACTCTGTTCCCGTACCTGTCAATCCATTACACCCACTGTCCCATGATGCACCTGGGTCTCACCTGGGACCAGGAAGGAGGAGATGCTAGGATGGCCAGATGGCAGTTTAAGTCTATGTTTTCATGGAGGCACCATGAAAACCCTAGAAAGCTGCATGTACTCTAACCTCCATCTCACTTGTATATTTAACTAGGATGCCACCCGCTGTCTCATCAGAGACTGACAATGTGGGAGGGGCCCTTCCTTTGCTCTTGACCATGCGTATGAGTCTGTCTCTGTCTTGCCCTCTCTCTCCTCCTCTCCTCATTGGCTCTCTCTGGCCCACTCATGATGGGCATCTCTGCTTGTGGGGTTGCCCACGCTCAGGCGTGAGTATATGTTCGCTCTCTTTAAAATAAGTCATGCTTCCACATGTGCACTGACTGTATTTATGTCTCTGCTTTGAATTTATCTCTGTGGTGGGCAGGAACCTGGTAAAAAGATTAAGATACATAGACCCATAACAGCAGGGCAGGAAGAGCCACCTGGGAGTCCCCTGGGAACCAGGAGAACTACTCTAACCCCTTCCTCAGTGCCCCGCCACCACCTAACATCCTCCCTGCAGACCCCACCTGTTACAGGTCCTGTCACCACCACAGGTAGGACCAAGCTTCCAGGACAGGACCCAGGGTAGGGGGTAGGGGACACACTGCAACCACAGCAGGTGTTCTGTCTGGAAGGGGAGCCTCTGAGAGCAAGGAACAAAGAGGAGGCAAAAGAGTGCCAGGAACAGGAATGGTGCTGGAGGAGGCTCTGTGGCTGCAGCTGAGGAAGCAGCTGGATCTCAAGGAGTGCCGTGTGATGCCCTGCAGGGTCTGGAACTGTCCAAATGAGGCAGGAGGTGCACCCCACAGGGACCATGTGGGCAGGGGTCACGGGCTGGTGGGGGTCGGGGGGAGTCCTAGCAATGTCAGAGACAGAATTTCCTGCAGAGTCGGATTTAAAGGGATTAAAGAATGTAAAGAAATGCAGTATTTCCTGTACACTTGAGTTTATAGACTAAGCATGATATCCATTAAAATAATTATTATATTCAAAGTTTTTTTGAGTGCTTATTATATATGCCGGGAACTGGGTTAAGAAACTTTTAAAAATGATCTCATGTTAGCCTCACGAAAAGCCCGTAAGTGTATTTTTCCTCCCTCCATTTTACAAAAAAAAAGGAGGCTCAGAGAAGCAAAGGAGCTTCTGGGTCACGGGTCCATTAAGCGAGGATAGAGGCTTGGATCGGGTTTGTTTTTCAGCCCGTGCACTTAACCCCACACAGCAGCGTCTCCCCACACCCACACAAATGCATCCAATTAGGTGTTACTCTGACTGCCGCCGTGAGCGCTGGGGCCTGAAGAAGAGGGAAAAATCAATGTTGATCTTTCAGGGAAGGCTTCACGGAATCAGGTCCACTGAGTGATTAAGAGCCCCAATCTAGAACCAGACCACTTGGATTTGGAACTCCTTCCATTGCTTACGAGCTGGGCAAGTAAGTCACAGACTCCCTCAGTTTCCCCAGCTGTAAAATGGGCCCCTTGGGTTGTAATTAGAAGGAGTTACTTACTACGTGGCCAATGCTGAGGACACAGGCTGACAGCTTCTGCGGATGGGTTGTGCTTCCTCTTGGTGCCTGCCGTTTCTGTGGCAGCGTTCTGCCGCATCCCAGTCATGACCCCCGCAAGACTGCGCACCAGGGCGGCTCACTGGCTTGTCTTCACCCAGCATCCCTGGCTCTTAGCTCTTCCACGGTCAGGGCACTCACTCAGTGTTCAGTGAGTGGATGCATGGATGCCGGGAAGAATTCTGGAGGAGTCTGGGAAGCCACATGACCGAGACAGTGAAACCGGCTGGGCGTGGTGAGCCTGGGGCAGTTAGGAGACCAGAGCCCACAGGAGAGAGGATGGAAGGCTAGCCAGCTCCTGCGCTTAGGAGCTAGAGGCAGTGAGCTCCCCCCAGGCGGTCCTTGTAGTTGGTGCTTCAGGGCCGTCTTTGATGTCAAGACTGGGCTGCTGGCCCCAAAGGGCATAATTATCAGGGAAGTGGCCTTGATGCTAATCTGCGGGGCTGTGTTCAACTCTGGTTCTATAGAACCCTTTCTTTCCTTTGGTCTTGCAGAATTTTCTTCCCCTGCCTAACTCTCTAACCCCAGCCATAATCATTCTAGATCCTTCTACAGCTACATGTTAGACCCAGGGCTGTTCCTCCCCAAACACACAGATCTAATGAGTCTGATAGCAGGAAAAGAGGGGTTTGCTTCCTCCAGGCTCTAGGTGAGGGACCAGGACTTGTGTCTACATGCCTCATACTTTAATTTTAGAAAGTTCAAATAGTTTGTTGATTTTTTATGAAAACAGAATTTCTCTTCCGTCTCTATTCATGCTATCTCCAACGTGTGTGCTGTGCTGTGCTGTGTGTGCGTGTTTTGCAATGGGGAGGCTGGAGGGCAGCTTCTCACGGTGGGGAGAGATTTAATGATCAGTTGCCTTGGAGGCTGAAGAAGGATGGAGGAGCCAGTCACTTCCCTCTGACACTCCAGGGTCTGCTTCTGGGGCAGGGGAGCTGTGTTGACTTTGATCTCTGGATGTGCGGGGCTGGGCTCAGATTCTCCACAAACCACAGAGCCGGCAGGAGCAGGTGCTGGGAATCAGGAGGAGGTGTAGGGGAGGCTGATGTGATCAATCAGGGCCCCAAGAGGCAGCCCCTTGAGGAGAGCAGGTGCCTTGGGAGGAGGGGGCCCAAGGGCAGGTGCAGGCCCCTGTGAAGAGGAGCCAGCTCCTCCCCCATGCTGCTTTTTAAGGGAGTCTGGGGAGGATTCAGGGCTTAGGACTTAAACAGGCTGGGGAGTTGGATAATTGCACATGGGTTTGTCTTCTTGGCTATCCATGCCTATCCTAGAGTTGGCAATGGAATCTCTTACCGGGTTTTTGGTTGTGCTTTTCCCAGAGTAGGGGGAGGCTAAAGATACAGACCAAAGTGCTAACCGTCCTCAGAGCCACCTGCCACCGCTACACCTGCCTCCAGTGCCTCCTCCCACCCTGAGCTGGCCACCTCCCTTCACGCCTGCTGTTTAAAGATGGATAAATGAAGCGCAGGGCCTCTCACTTTTGGTCTGGTGGATCCAGCCCCTGGTTCTCTCCTGAGGGACCTGGTGTTATGGTGAACTGGCTCTCCAGAGCCCGTTGGGTGGGGGTAAGAGGGCCAAAGGCTGAGCACAAACATAAATTAAAATTAAGGCCTCCAGTGAAGCCGAGATGTGGTTTAATTTCCCATCTGCATGATCACCATTACAATGCATGTTACTGGATATAAAGATAAATCCGGCCCTGTTCCTAATAGCTTTTCATTTCCACCAGACCTGATTATATTGATGTGGGCTCCTTGTGGGAGTTTCCCAGCATGCTCTTCCCCAGCATCCTGAATGGCTCTGTCGGCCCCAGCGGGGGGTTTTGGACACTGCTCAGACGTGGCCAGATGTGTCTGCTGCTGTTCTGCAAAACCAGCCGGGAGGAGCTCCCCGCTGCCAGCCTAGGGATGGGGCCTGTGGGTGTTGGGATCTTGTTCTGACTTGGCCAGGCTGTGAGTACATGGAGGGTACTGCGTGATGGGGGAGGGGAAATAGGGACAAGGGGGAATCTGGCCAGAGGGATCCTGTCTGAAAAGGCCCCTCTGAGGCTGGCGTTGTGGTTAACCTCTGCGTGGGTCACCTGAATCCCATAGGGCTACCTGGGGTCAAGTTCCTCCTGCACCACTACTGCCTATCCAGCTTCCTGCTAGTATGCACTCTGGGACGCAGCAGACGATGACTCAGGTGCTGAGCCCTTGACATTCATGTGGGAGACTGGGATGAAGCTCGGGCTCCTAGCTTTGGCCTGGCCCAGCCCTGGCTGTTGCAGGCCTTTGGGGAGTGAACCAGCAGACAGAAGATCTCTGTCTCCATCTCTGTCTCTCTGCCTTTCAAATAAATAAAAATGAGTAAACATTTAAAAAAAACACATGAGAAGGCCCTCCAATGCGAGGATTCCCACTGGGCAATGCCTCCTGGCTGTGGCCCACCTCTGCCCACAGGTGGGAGCCAAGTGACCACCCCAGCCCTCCTCCAGCTCCCTACAGTGATTGTCCCCAGTGGGCCAGGGGCCCAGGGTTTCCCATGGGTTTTTATATCTTTTCATTTCACCCTCTGCATGATCCCTACTGGTCCCCCCACCTCTGCTTGTTGGTACCCCACCCCTCTTTGACTGTAAACTTGGTTCACGTGGGTCCCTTTCACAAGCCCTCCCACGCAGCTCAAGCCGCTACTCCTGCAGCTGCGTTCCTAGAGCAGCTCCTTCCTCCCGTCTCGTGGTCCAGGCGGTTATTTCTATCTGTCTGCCATAGGAGTTGGTACGCCTATATCCTTTCCATCATTGTGTCACCAGCAACAGCATAGCACTCCCATAGAGTAATAATATGATTAATGGTAATATCCATCATGGATGAGACCTCTTTTATGTCAGGCATTTTGCATTTTTATTTATTTTTTATTTTTAAATTTTATTTAAGTTATACAAGTTTCACGTATTTCATGTATACAGATTCGGGAACATAGTGCTACTTCCCACCCTAGCCTCCCTCCTGCCTGTGCTCCAACCTTTCTTCCTCCTCTTTCTCCCATTCTCAGTAGGCATTTTCAATTTATTTTCCCTAATCCTCACAATAACCCTTTTAGAGCGATAATGCTTGCTGTTCTTTTCCTGTTTGACAAATGAAGACATTGAGGCTCAGAGAAGTTATCCGAGGCCACACAGCTAATAAGGGATGCTGCCTGGGTTTGAGCTGGGATCTTCTGGGGTCTTGTACCTCTGCTGCCTCTCCAGCACAGCCTCCCCATTAGGAGTGAAGGGGTGAACAGTCCTCGGATTTCCACACAGGATGAGCACCTGTCCTCATCTGCCATGTTTGCTTGGAGACAGAACTGTGTCACTAGCTGACCTCTGGCTGTGTGTGGTAACCAGAGGTTCTCATTTTTCTTTCTTTCTTTCTTTCTTTCTTTCTTTCTTTCTTTCTTTCTTTCTTTCTTTCTTTCTTTCTTTCTTTCTTTTTTGTTAAAGTTTATTTTACTTATTTGAAAGGCAGAGTTAGAGATAGAAACAGAGAAAGAGCGAGAGAGAGAGAAAGATCTTTCATCCACTGGTTCACTCCCCAAATGGTTGCAAAGGCCAAGGCTTAGCCAGGCCAAAGCCAGGAGCCAGGAACTCCATCTTGGTCTCCCATATGGGTGGCAGGGTCCCAAGCACTTGGATCATCCTCCAGTGCCTTCCTAGGTGCATCATCAGGGAGCTGCATTGGAAGCAGAGCAGCCAGGACTCAAACCTGTGCTCCGATATGGCTGCTATCACGGGGAACAGCAGCTTAGCCCTCCATACCATGATGCTGGCACCGGCTCTGATTTTCTGATGGGCAACAGGTCCCTTCTAAAAGATCAATGAACAAAACAACCATTCTAACAAGGGGACTTTACTGGGCACTGGCTCTGTTTGGGGCCCTGATCTGGGAATTTGGGATTCAGCTCGTGTCCTCAGCTCTGAAGGGCAGGGATGGAAATCTCCATAGAGCAAACAAATCTGACCTCGCCTTGGCTTTGGAATGCAGATCCGACTTACTCATTATGTTTGGCTCAGCTTCATAGGAAGGTTACTTTGGATGCCGTGAGTCTACACCGACTTGGACGGGGTGTGAGCCCAGGAAAGAGAGAGACAGGTGGTGCTGGAAACCAGTCCAGACCACGTGCAGACCCCAGACGGTCCGAGCTGGTGGTCCAGCCTCCTCATCCACTGATAAAGCATCCTGGGCACAGCCCAGTCTCCTTGTTTCTCTCCTGCTTGCTCTCAGGCCTGTGGCCACTTTTGTTTGACTACCAGATGGTTTTCCATCTTTGTCCAAAACCTGAGCGTCTCTCAAGGTCTCGTTCAGACCTCTCTGTTTTCTGTGATGTTGTTCCTGCTAAGAACGGGTTTTAAAATCACCCGGATTAACCCCCTCCCAGCGATCCTTTCCTGAGTGCCTCCTGAACTTTATCAGTTCCTCACTCAAGACACTAATCACATTTTTTCCTGTGATAGTTTCACACCTGCGCTGTGCCTGCTTGCGGGAGTGTGGAATCTGCAAGAGCAGTGTTCGTGTGCAGGAGATGCTGGTGGGATGGCCGGGATTCGCTGGCCCTCGGTCTCATTCACTGGGGGTGCAGGGGGTGGGGCTGATGGCACGGACGTGAGCTCAGAACGAGTCAGCCCCTCGGGTTTGGGCCATGCAGAGGAATCCAAGCTGACCATGGCCTGTTCCTCTCCTCGGGGGCCCCACTCAGGGCTCCGGGGTCTTCCCGGGGAAGGGGATGGTACAGCAGGGCTCAGTTATTCCTGGCAACAGCAGCCCAGGAAGGTGTCCTGGAGGGAGGGAGGCAGGGCCTGTGATCAGGAGGGCCTTGGGAGCCCTTGGTGGAGGTGACAGCGTGGGTGCAGGCCAGCAGGCAAGGAGAGGGTGGGATGATCTGGGGACGTGACTGGGAGGGCAGAAAGAAGTAGTGGGTGACAAATCCAAAAAGGTTACTGGCTGTTTGACCCCTGAAGATCGTGGACTAGGGCAAGAAGACAAGGGGTATGATAATGCTGACAATATTTAGAGTACTGACTGAGTTGGCAGGCTCTGTTCTAAGCAGTTTACCATAATTAGCTCGTTTACTCTGCGTGTGTGTGTGTGTGTGTGTGTGTGTTGTCCTGCCCAGATTGCTCTTGGGTTGACCCTGTGTCCAAGGGACAAACTAGTCCTTTTTCCATGAGCCAGAATGTGTTTTTTTTTTTTTCTTCTTCGATCTTTATTTATTTTAGAGACAGAGACAGAGATAGGCAGAGCTCCCATTGTTGGTTCACTCCCCCAAATGCCCACAAAACCCAGGACTGGCCCAAATCAGGAGCCAGGATCTCAAACTGGGTCTCCCATGTGGATGGCAGGAACCCAGTCCCCTGAGACATTACCTGCTGTTTCTCAGGGTGCACATTAGCCAGAAGCTAGAATTGAGAATGGGGCCAGGACTTGAAACCAGGCCCTTGGAGATGAGATGCGGGAGTTCTGAGTGTTGTCTTAACTGCTGCACCAGACACTTGATTACTCTCCCATTTGACAGATGAATCAGCTGAGGCAAAAAGTAGATAACTAAATTGCTTAAAGCTAGTAAGCGGAAGAGCTGGGATTTGAATTTAGGTACTCCGTAATCTGTGCATCTGTGCTGCCTTATATTTTTCTTGCCTCACAACAAGAAAAAGATGAACAACCTGACATCAGTGGG